ACCCTCCAAACCAACCATTCCCTTCTGGGGAACCATTGTTGCCAGTCTCCAGGTGAGGGCTGGAGATCACTCAAAATTACAACTGTTCTTTCGGTAGCAGAGATCAGTTCCTCTGGAGAAAATGGTGGACACTGAGTGTCCAAGGCCGGGGCACTCGCCCAGAGCCTCTTTCTAGAGGTCGTTGTATTTATTTCCACAGCGGGCCTTTTTCCTAGTAAACTTTATAAAGGACACAAACACAAAGGTTTTTTTTTACTTAAAATAAAAACATGCTTAAAACATTAGCACTCTTGCAATATTTTGTTTATTTAACAGTGTCTGATAACTGACACCTTTTACTCTGAATTATTGAATCAAAATGTCTGTGCTGTTGCAATCTTGACTATGATGCAGCAGCAGCAGCAGAACTAGAAGCAGAAGCAGAAGACAGCCAGTTTCACTGTGGGCTTGATGGAAGCCCTCGGGCTGCATGTTTGACACCCCTGGCTTAGATATTTGCTTGATTTCCTACTTCTTCAGACTCTGAAGACTATTCTTTTATATGTGCTGGTTCTGAATTGAAAAGTTGATACCATTAGGCTTGGAAAGTTGATGCCATCAGGTTTGTTACTTTGTTTTAAATTCATTCCAATAAAGGCCATGGCACTTTAAACACAGTTACCCAAGGATAAAGCATCTTGTCTCTGTATGCTTAATTCTGTCATAGATTTGTTCTCTTCAGAAGCCATAATTTGCTAATGTATACTTCGCAAGCATACTTCTGCATGAGAACCAGTTTTAAACTGGAGCGGTTCTGTTTTAACACCCCCCCATCCTCCTAAATTAGGAAATTTTTTCTTCCTGAGATATTAAATTCATTTATATTATGTTATACTGTTAAATAACCTGCTGTTGACAAAAATAAAAATTGATACTTGGGATAACAAATAGGGAATTAAATTGATACCTATTGTCCAGTTATTTTGTAGATGTTGCTTATTGAAAATTAGATGATAATCTACATTTTTGTCACTAGACTATTATATGGATAAATGAAGTCTATGAATTTCTCATTCATTTTTCTTTCCCTTCCTGCCTCTTGATGATCTCACTTTGGTATGTAGTCTCCATTATTGATTTCATTTTTTCCCCTGCTATTGAAATGCAGAGTTTTATAATTTACAAAAATATATGCCTATTTTACAGGGGCATCTACAAATACCCTAGATACTGTTTTGGAAATTGTTGCTTATGAAGCACGCCGTCTCTTCCGTGACAAAATTGTTGGTGCTAAGAAACTACATATATTTGATAATATTTTAATGAAAGTCTTTGAAGGAGATTGGGGTTCTGATGTTCTGGACAACATGGCAGGTAACATGAAATGAAATGGTTTAGAATTGCTTTCCTGTTTGCCTGCCATGTTCTTTCTTTTCATGATAATAATATATCTCCATTTTGTTATATTTTTATAGATAGCTACTATGTAACATGGGGAGCTCGTAATGAACTAGGAGCACTTATGGCTCCAGGGCAAACATTACCACCCCATGGAAGGCCACTTGGCAAACTTAACTCAGCAGATTTAAAAGATGTTATCAAAAAGGTATGTAACAATAGATTAATAAATTCAAGTGGAATTATCAGAAGTTCATATTTATTTTTGTGCACTGCACCTGTTACCAGGGTCAGTGTCTTTTCATGTTTGGAAGATACTTTCATAGAAACTTTAGCCTCCTAGGCCAATCCAACACATATAGGGTTTCTTTTTTTAAATTTTTTTGTAGAGGCAGCGAATAGAAGTATCTGAAGAATGAATCATGGAGCTCTGTACTCCTAACTTTCAAACTGTGAAGGTGTTTCCTTAAGTAAGACCTTATTTCCTTAAGTAAGACCTCATTTTAGCTAGATTTGAGTCCAGTAGCACCTTAGAGACTAGCAGGATATTGAGACTTCTGGTTGATGGCGGTGCGCTAGCAGACTCACCTCCCGGACCTCCCGGGGGTGAAGCTGCGCTCCAGCCGAAGAAGGGGGTGTGCAGGCTCGCTTACCCCCCCCCAGGGGACCTGGCGAAGGGACCCTGGCCATGGAACTTATAAGAGGCTGCCTCTTCGATGGTG